GTATCAAGCATGTATCAAAAACAAGGAGGCACGCAGGCCCCAAATAGGAATAGCAGAAGAAAGGTGGTGGTTAGAGTACCATGTGGGCTCGCAGGCCCCATTTTCAGCATATTGTGTATTGGCTCGCAGGCCTCAATCGGATGGCATTGGCTCAATAACATCAATACATCACTGTGTCCCACTAGTCACCTAAGGTATTTGATGCAGTTTGTCGCTCATCTCGTCAAGCTGGTCTCTGGGTACTAACGAGTGTGAGGGTGTGTAGACCAGTCTGTTGGTCTCGTGTCTTGTCTAGGGTTGTGTCTCAATTGTTCGCCAGATGTAGGCGAGTGGTGCTTTCCCATTCTTGCCCGTGTCTCGGCTATGGTGCCTATCGTGTTGTGTTGTACCACTTCAGCCTCTGTCTATAAGCCTGATCCTGTCAAGTAGGCCTGCATATCGTGTCTCTAGTATTGGTGCTGGACAATCTCTGCTGGATGCGGTGTTGGTTTCCAGCCACTTCTGTATGGACTTGCGCCAATCACTTGTCTATGTGGTTCCCGTTATGGGGAAGGGCGTCCTGCTAGCATCGCAGCATGTCAGGACATCGTCCTGCGGAGTCGTGTTAGGGCTGGGTATCACTGAGAGAGAGGATAAAGGGAAGAGAGAAAGGAGGAGGGGGTTGGGTCTGTTAGGGGTGAGAAGGCAGGGGGGCGTCCTACCCTCCACATGTGGAGAGAGGAAAAAGGGGGTGGGTACTGTCTGGTAGTCCTAGTCGTCCTGTTGGTATTGGAGTTTAAGAGCAAAGTCTTCCTTAGCTGTGTTCAGTATCCAGTGTTTCCAAGTCTCACTATAGGCTGTGGGGATGTGGGTGGTGTTCATTGTTAGTTCTTCTATCGCTCTTAGGGTTTCCATCTGAGTAAACTATGTCTGTAGGGGGGTAACTGCTTCCAGTACTGTGGGTGAACTTGTTTGGCTATGTTTAGAACCCTAATGGTAATAGATTTCTTGTATTTGGATCTGGGGATGGTTGTGTGGTGGAGGAGCATGGCTGCTGGGTCTATGGGGGGTGGTGCATCAGAGAACTCCTCTAACATGCTATGAATTTCCACTCAGAATAGTCTAATCATCTCACAGTCCCACCAAAGGTGCAGGGTGGTGCCTACCTCCTTTTCACATCTCCAGCATATGTTAGAATGGTCTGGGTTGATGGAGCTTAAGAGGTTCGGTGTGTGGTACCAGTTGGTCAAGAGCTTAAAGGCGGTCTCTTGTGTTCTGCTATAGAATGAAGAGTGGTGCGTGTTGTGAGGTAGCAGATCTTCTCCCATTCCATGTCAGAGAATGTCTTTTGTAGGGCTGTTTCCCATTTACCCATGAACAACAGTTTTTCAGCAGGGGTTTCAATGTGGTACGGTCCCGCGTGAGTGCGCTACCCGTGGGAAGTGTGTTAACAAAGTGGACTAACTGCGCATGTTTAAAGTGGTGCTTGAAGGTGGGTGTGGTCTCACCTAACAGGTCCGGATTTGTGACATTATAAGTTTGACTGTTCAAATAACCCCACAAATGCCTTCCATTTGAGAAAGAAGGCACTCCAGGGTATCTTATATGGTGTATATTATGATGTTGCTCAGCTATGTCGTACCTTTGCCAGGTATATATGGACATTAAAGGAGCACATTTAAGACACAGCCATTCCAGTTTTGTTTCAAACTTTAAATTTTTACGCTGGGTCCATATTTCACTTTGGAGTTTTTTTTAGCAGGTTGCTTATTCCAACTACACCACAAAGGCATACTATTGCTTAAAGAAGACACCTCAGGATATTTCAAAAGGCATATTTTGAACCTTAGCGTGGGATAATTTTTTCACTAGCCTGTACCAAGTGTAGAGATAATAAGCATTTTTTTCCCCCTTTTTAAACATTTTTGTTTACTTTTAAAAACGTTTATTTTTTACACTTATCTGTCTCCCTGCACGTCATTGCTGACACAGAGGTTCAGGGAGGCAGATCAGGTTTCACTACCGCAGGCATGCAGGGCTGTCTTTAACGTGGGGCAAACGGGGCAACTGCCCCGGGCCCAGTTTCTCTTGGGGGGCCCGAGGCACCTGCCCCGTGGGCCCCGCTGCCCTCATCAATTCATTTTTTTCCCGTCGCACCGGGTGGCCCATGCACTTAGGGCAGTGGCGTACATACCAGGGTCGCGGCTGCGACCCTGGTATGTAGCCACAGGGCCAGCCTCTTCCCCTGGGGGGGCCCAGGAGGCGGCCACCCC